TCCGTCTCATTTAGTTCAAGTAGATGAAGTGCAGGTGAGAGATAACCTGACTGTGGAGACATCACCTATGCGGATAGAGGATCGGGAGTTGAAGCAACTTCGAGGCAAAGAGATTGCTTTGGTAAAGGTCGCTTGGGGAGGACCGACTGGTGGAAATCTGACTTGGAAACTTGAGAGTCAGATGAGGGAGTCTTATCCAGAGCTTTTTGAATCAGGTAACATTTTCGAGGACGAAAATTCCTAAAGTGGGGGAGGGTTGTAACAACCAAATTTTTCAATAATTAGTTACATATTAATTAATTGATTTATTTGGATTATTTTAATTATTGGATGATTAATTAAATGAATTGGTAGATATTTTGAAAGAAGAAAATATTGGAGAGAATTAGAAGGGAAAGACATATAAGAGGAAAAGTGGAAAGAAAAGGAAAGATAGAAACATAAGAGAAAGAAAGAGGAAAAGGAGAAAAGAGAAGGAAAAAGAGGAAAATTTGGATTCTTCAAGAACAACTTCCAACTTTCGATTAATCAAGGTAAGGGTGTGAAATGTTGTTATTATATCAATGTTTATGATTATGTATGATTGGTTTGGATTGTTGGATGTTCTTCTACATTTTCCATTTTAGGGCAGAAAGAGGTTTAATCGGTAGAAATCGATGTTTGAACGGTTAGAATCGGGAATAAATGGCGTAGTTTAGTCGGGTAATGTTGGGTTAAGATTACTGGAGTTGATTGGAATTGAATCGATTGATTTTGGGAGGATTGGACGATTTTGAACAGTTTGGGGTTCTGAGTTCGCAGGTTCGCTAGCGTTCGCTAGGCAAACAGGAAACGAAGGTTCGTCAGGCGAAGCCCAACAAGTGGGTAGCGAACCATTACAGTGGCCAAACTCAGTCTTTGCTGGTGTGTTCGCCAGGCGAAGGAGGTGGCGAGAGGTTTCGCCAGGCGAAGGAGGTAGCGAGTGGTAGCGAGTGGTAGCGAACACTTTCAGTAGCTACTGTCTGCCTTCGCTAGTGAGTTCACCAGGCGAGTGAAGCAGCGAGCATTCACCAGATGCTTCGCCAGGCGAAGGTCAACGAATGTGACAACATTTTTCTTTTCCTGTGTTTTCCATCCAATGTTGATTGTGTGGTTTGATTATGTTTAGTCCTTATTTGGATTGAATAGTTTGTGTACTATTGTGATAAGATGTGTTGTGGGTAGCCGTAAGACGTGAATCCTAGGTTGTGAAATTGATTATGAAATGTGGTCTTTTGACAAATTTACGCATTGTTTAAAATTGATTAAAAATGCATGACGAGTATGATGAATGTGATTGTGTTCGTTGTCGTTGGCACGATATTGTGAATGCATATTGATTGTATGCGATTGTATGTGAAGAATGCATGGGAACATATCGTGAATATGTGTGCATTGCTTGATAATTATGGTGATGGTATTGAATTATGAATATTTTGGTTATTTGAGATATGTTGTGTGTGCAATCATTATTATAATTCTTGAGTGATGAATTATTTGAATGCATGGGATTAAGATGCGAGAACGGTCTTAAGTGCATTTGGTGGTTGATTGCATATGCATCATTTAGTCAAGAGGCAATGTTTGCTAATTTCGTGGAGACTAGTGACTTGTCCCAAACCTAGAAGGGTGGGTTTGAAAGCTTAGGGAACGGGCTTTTGTTGTTATCGGTCTAGAAGGTTGGACCCGGTTTAAATGTAAAAATAGAAAAATGATAACAAGTGTTGGTACCACACGACATTGAGTTGCATTGAGTCACATGGCATAGAGATAAATGTTGTGTGAATGTATGCATATGTGTATGTTATGTGAATTGATGAGGATTATGGATGTGTGCATGATAAATATGCTTGATGATCATTCCATATTTGTTTAATATATATATTGTGATGTATATGATGATGATAATGAATTGTGGTGGGAAATGTGGAATATGTGTATTCTATGCTTATATATATATATATATATATATATATATATATATATATATATATATATATATATATATATATATATATATATATATATATATATATATATATATATATATATATATATATATATATGCATTGATTATTATGATAATATTTCTCACCCTTCTGTTGTTTTATAATGCTCTTTGAGGCATTGCATATTAGGTTTTGCTGGAGGTCTTTTGTGAAGTATAGCTTCATTCTTTTGTCGGTTAGCTCTGATATGTAGCACCGGGTAGTTAGGATTGTATAGTATTCTTTTGGGATACATTTTATATATGTATCTGATGGTAAACGTTTATGTAACACAAATGATGTGATGAAACAAACTGTATGATATGTATTTATATGATTACATGTTTTAAGTGATTCAATGTTTAGATTTTCCGCTTTAATTCTAAATATTGAGATGGGGGTGTAAGGACTAGGTTCCTCTGTTGAAACTACCCCACTGTTACATGTCTTTTATAAAGCAGGTGTTGTATGTTATTTTGTGTATGATGTGGCATACTTTTTTTATACCATGTTTCAAATTTACTCTGATGAAATTTTATTATGTGATTTATTTGTTTATTTAGGGGTATAGAAGGGGGTGTTACACGCTCGACGCACTTTATACACCATTTGCGCCAACTCCTTTTGACAAAAGACTTTGGACTTGCCCAAGAAATATAGAAGATGAGACATACATAGTTGTCGTTGAGTATACACAGACTAGCAGAGGACCTTGTAATTGGAACCCTATAGTATCTCACGCGTTGGTGGCTCGTGCAGGTGAAGGGATGACCCTGAGAGTCTTCTTCATTTGTAGCATCGTCTGATAGCATGTTATTTCATCTACATACCATAAAATACAACAAGATAAGGAAGTGGTCACAAGAAAATCCATAAAGAAAAGAATAAGTTTGGCATGCTACTCACCAAAGATAATCTATCACTCCTCTTTTGTAGGGTCTTCCACTTATAAGTGCATTTATATGTACCATTTCTTTTGTTTTTTTGATGTTTCACCAGAAAGAGCAACACCATTAATGAAACCCAAGCCGTCTAACAAATCTACTAATTTCCTCTACAGATAGTTTTCTTCTTGGGACAAATCGTCTGAGTGGTAAACATAAGACTCAAATCTTTTGGATAATTTACCCGAACATAAAAAATTCGACTCAAACTCTATTGCACATATGTTAGTGTGAGCCACCTCTGTAAGGGGCATAACCAGACAATATTGGTCCTTAAAGTTCTTCACACTCTTTGAGTAAACCTCAAACATATTATTATTCTGCCTAAGAGGATAAAACCTTGACCACACCCCAAATAAATGGGGTTCTGTTGGGCTTTAAAAATATGAAAGAAGACTGTCAAGGATGACACACTTTTCTTATACTTGCACCAATACTAGAAGACTTTGACGTATGCTTAGCTCATTAGGTGCAATTGTGAAGGAGCTATCTCTAGAATCACTTTAAAGTCATTGAACGAAAGGCAAAAACATCAAAGAAAATAAGCATTAATGAAAAGGAATGACACACTCGTCATACTTGCTGCATGTCCTATTTTTCCCTTTGAGGGGAAGCATCCTCTAGTTTGAGGAAGGAGCCACATCGGTGAAGGTCTGATCCATACCACCCTTGCTGACAAAGCTGAAGACGGCATCTAACGTTTATTGATCTATCCACATAAGTGAGTTGACTTTTATCAAGTCTCAGACTCTTGGACGAGACTTATCCATTTTAAAAGTCTTACCAACATATAAAAAGAAACAAGCATAATAAGAAGCACAAGGTCGATATAAGTTCAAGTTTCACACCTCCATCTAAGTCATATATGGAGAAGGATTTCATCAAGTTTAAGACAAGAAGCGCCAAAAACCTTAACATCATTTTAGAATAAATACCGCCATCCAACGTCTCACCATCGATGGTAAGCCTCTCTTTTAAAATTCTCTTCCCCAGAAAAGCTAACAAATCATATAAATGTTGAAGGAAAGAAAGGTTTTTAGGTGTTATCTAGAAAGAGATAAGCTTAAAGACTTACATGCTAAGTGCTCCATCGGAAGAGGTGGCACAAATGAGTTGAAATGATGACCAACTTAGGGCTATTGACGAAGATGAAAGAAGTTGTAAACACATAAGAAGAATTCTCAAGATCCATAAGCAACGAAAAGGGATATGGTAACCCCAAGACTCCTAATATATCCTCCAATTAAGGAAATCGTACAATCCACAATAATCGATATTTGGAAGCATGAATTGCACCACCAACAATCGAGATCTTACTTTGGACTGTTCAAAATACTTGAATACCTTAACACATGAAGACATCATTGCTGCCAAACATAGGCCTACATTTTAATGTTACCAATCACGAGAGAGTTTTTTTAATGTGCATGGTCCCAATGTTATCGACGTTCCATTAAAGCCCTTCTACTTCCTTCTGCCAGACGCGGAACATGAGACGTACATGACAAACCCTCATTCTACAAGTGTGACCAAAGGCTTGTGGGAAATTGTTATGGGTTTCTCGCAAGGCCCACAAAGAAAGTCCTAACAAACAAGAATCACACGGAAAGGTGTTTGTAACAAGCGAGGCCTCACTCCAACCAAGGACACGTGATTTTGACCTCCAGCTCACTTTCCACCGTTGGATCTAATCTGACACCGGATGAGGCGGTGGGTCTCATGGAGGCGATTTTAACCACCCATTCTATATAGAGGACATTATGTTCTCATTCATTCCCTAACTTGAACATAGAAGTGTGTGTAACCTTACACGTCTATCATACCATAAACTCACTCCACCGTATCAGATCTCTGTATATCTTTTTCCAGTGCGGAACAACATCAATGGACGTTTTTCAATGTCTAAGTTTGTTGAGTTAAAGAAATTCTCAGACTGAAATTGAATCAAGTAGATCAAGCAACGAAAACAGAAAGGAGAAGCCATCAATTACAAATATGCATTTTGTGTGAGACAAATATTTCACACATTCAAATTGTATAGTTGAATGAATTACTTGTTGATCGGTGCTTGAAGGGTATACAACAAAAGAAAAATGAGAATAATAAGTGCACCACCTAGAGTAAAAGTAGGACTATTCCAGAACTTGAGGTTTGATCTCTCTGTTCTCTTAATAGGATCAACCTCCTCAGAAAGTGGGAAATCTGAACGCTTAGGATTCCAACTCACATACTTATCAGCAGAAAAATTTGAGAACAGAGTTTTCTTCCCTTGCTTCTTGAACTTTGACCATGCCTTGTCCCAATCCGTTGAAGATTTATCACCTGAGACACATTTCACAGAGGTTAGAGTCAATCGTGTAGGGTTATAGTATGCGAAAATGAAGGGCAGTGATAATTGAAGAACACTATACCCTTGTTATCACCGTTTCTTTGAGATTCGTCTCTTTTGGAACAGACAACTTTGAAGGGGAAATACGAAGAGAAAGTTTGGTTTCTTGAAGTGAAACGGTGTGATGTAAAACTTGGTATTGGAATGTGTTTGTGAATATCCATTTGAATGGTGATGAAGGTTGGAATTTGGTTCTTGTTTTGGTGAAGTGAAACCGTGATGGAACGGTCTTCACCTCTTCCTTATCCTCTGCGAATCTCACATTTTTGTTTACCACATATTGTTACACGTGGCCTCACGCAAAGTCAACATTATGATTTATGATTACGTGAATTTATTTATTTCATTATTTTGGAAGAAAACTCGAATACAATTAAAATTATTTTGTTAGGGGACATTCACACGCTATTTTCTAACAAACTAGTAGTAAATTAACCGGGTTTTGATATGGTATATATAATTTGTTTAGATATACTTGGAAATGTTAAATGATAAATGTAATTGTCTAAAAAAATATATAATTTTTAATTTCATTTATTATGAAGTTTTTAGTTTAATTTTTTTATTAAAAAAATCCGTTTATGGTTGAATAGTTTGAAGACCATCTAGGATTTTTTTGGCACAGTCATAAAAAGTCTGAGTCCCGTCAAGATCAGTCTATTTAGGAAAAATAATGACAAGATTCTCGATTAAAGAAAATAAACACTTTTGGATTCGAGATTAAATATGATAATGTCATTTAGTTTATTTAGGTATGTTCCCCTTCAATTCATCCACATCAATTTTTAGGAAGGTACTTTTAGGAAGGTGACATGTGAAAGTTTTTTTTAGCAATCTCTGACAAATTAGAGCAATGAAGGAGCATGGGTCATACCAAAGATAAATTGGTACAAAAAGAATGCAAAAGATAAAGTGAATTTCTTAAGGCACCCCATAGGTTTCTTTCCCACCGTGAGGTTTTTTACAAACGTCCTCAGATTTCGGAGATATATCTTCGGACGCGCCCCATGGCTTAATAATATTCCAAAGATATATCCCCGAAACAATTTAAACTTTAAACGATCACAACATATCTCCCATATCCCATTTCCATTTGAATTTTTTCGGAGATACATCTCCGAAGTGTATCAGAACAAGTTTTTTTAAACGCATTGTGTATTTGTTCGCAGATGAATTATAAAATAACAGAAAAACCAAAGTAACATAACAATATAGTAATAAGATGTCATACGTCACGTTAATCCAAAATGTAGTAACAATGTTAGGAAAAACATACAAACTATAATACTGAAACAAAATAAATACAAACAACTACTGGGTGTGCCTGGCAACCTCTCTTTTGCCTCATGTGCGTCCTATGTTTGGCCTGCTTCCTCGACCATCGATCCCCCTGTCCTCGTGTGAGGTCTACGGTACAAAAATGCTCCTTGCGCCTCCGCAATAATATCATCCAGTACTCGCTTGACAGCAGACCCCTTAAGGAAGATACTCTCATCAATGCCTGATCGCGCCATCTCCAATATGCGACGACAACGACGCAAGACATCCTCGGTTAGATCCAGCTGAGCCTGCTGTCCTCTAGAATCTCCTAGAGCAGTCAACACCATGTATAGATGTGAGACAATGAAGAACCATCTGATGTATCCTTAGACGTAGCTCTAGTCATTCGACGATATGGTAGCTCGAGCCTCCTCTGGTACCAGATAACTCTGATAATCAGCAAATATCTCCTCTATCTATATACGAGTCAAGGCAGAAGGTGCAAAGACAACTGAGTGTTTGGGGATGGTTTGGGTGTACCCGAATTGCCTCATGACGCACTTGGGTAGATGAAGAGCAGTGACACTCGATCCGCAGGCCAACAATCCAGAGTATAGCGATATATCGTCAAATGGTCGCGTCTGACGGTGATCCACGTAGCAATTGAAGTGGATGTCCTCAGCAGCCAAGCGGTCAAGATAGACTCTGAAAGGCTCGGTCGCCTGGTTCCTTCCCAGCGGGATAAAAGCACAAGCACAGGGCATCTTCTCAGTGTACTCATCCCAACACGACCAACCTGCGATGCGTGGGAAGTTCTGGAAGATCCAACCCTGAAATGAAAATAAAAAGCACTCTGGGATCAAGAATTATCGCAAATATGAAATGATAAAGATAAAAAAAACATTCAAGGATACAAAATTATTACCACTAGAAGTGTCGTGCTGCCTGTGACCTACTTCGTCCTCCACTGACATCCATCTCTTAGCCTCAAATACAAGTATGCAAGGCATGCCGCCCAATTGTACTCATGGATCCGTGTGAGATCCAAGAAGTACCATAGGTATGCAGCGTTAGTGTAGGTGGCACTTGTGTCCACAAAAATCACATCAAACTTTTTTATCACCACCGTGTGATCTTTCAAATCCTTTTTTAAGGTATAAAAACAATCAACACACACATTATTTTACTCCGAACTACGGAGCTCTGATTCCTTATTTTATTATGAAGATACGTAGGCATGAGGGTCCCAATCCTTGACGAGCACCATAAAAAACAATTTTGTACCTATTCCTTTCCCTCTTAATAACTCGAGAAGCCTAATATTTCTAAGCATACACTAATGCGCACAACAAAGCCAAACGGTTCTCGTTGAATACAACGGACGTGAGGGGTGTTAATACATTCCCATTGCGTAATCGACTCCTGAACCCAATATTGGTTGTGATGATCATATCCTTTCCTTTCCATTTATAGGTTTTATCAATATTTTCTCTTTTTCCTCTTTGAGAATAAATAAAGTTCGACGGCGACTCTGTTAGTCCATCCTGTGAGCGTGCGATTGCGCATCGCAGGGTCGTTCTTAATTTTCGAGGTACAACATTATGCAAGTGCGGTTTTAGTTCTAGTGGATTTTTAATGGGAGGTTGAATATGAGGGTTGGAAGGTGAGGTAGGATGATTGTTGGTGTCATGAATAGGAAAATGTTCAATGGGATAAGGGTTGTTGTTGGTGTCCTAAATGGGTAAGGTAGTATGTATATCAGGTGGTGAATTGGGTTGTATAATAACTTTAGTATGGTTAATAGGATAGTAAAAAAGAAGGGGAATATTGTAAGGAGTGGTTGGTGAAGTATGTTCATGATTAGGGATGGGTGGATAAAGAGAAATGTAGGGAAATGTAGTTTCATAAAAGGACTAGTTTATAGAGATAAAGGTAGATTTAATGTTGAGGTCAAATAGGAGATAACCTTTAGTATTGGAGTAACCTAAGCAAATACATTTACTAGCTCCAGGGTCAAGCTTTTCCTTATGTTTAGATATGGTTGTAGCATAAGTGAGGCAGCCAAATGTACTAAGGTGATCAAAGCAGGGGGCTTCATTAAAGAGCAATTCATAATGTGTGTTGTTCTTAATGGTGGGACTACACAATCTAATGTCAAAGGTGCTGAAGAAGCCAGAACCTAAGATATTGGGAGCTAAGATTCTAAAAAACTCAGAACCTAAGGTCAAGGCTCATTCAAAACAACAAAATTTTAAATCAGAAGTCTTGAATAATTCTAAACATTATCATATGAAATCAAAGGTACAAGACAAGAAGAAACCTGTCAGAACTGACCACAAAGGTCCCATGAGATTATGGGTACTTAAATCTCAAATTATCTTTGCTAAAAATATGCTTCAAGGAAGAAGCAAAGTAGCAGTCATGGTACATGGACAATGGCTGCTCATGATATATGATAGGAGAAAAGCTTATGTTCCAAACTCTAACTCTAAAAGAGGGAGGGACTATGGGATTTTGAGGAAACCAGAAAGAAAAGAGTGTCGATATGGGTACCATTGGTAACTCCTCCATCTCAATTAATAATGTTTAGCTTGTAGATGGACTTAAACATAACCTACTGAGCATTAGTCAATTTTGTGACAGTGATTATGAAGTCATGTTTAATAAGAACAACTGCGTAGTCATGAATGAATCTGACAAGTCCATAATGTTCAAAGGTAAGAGAAATGACAATTTTTGTAAAATTAATTCTTTTGAATTGGTTGATCAGAAGGCACTTTGCCTTTTATCAATAAGTGATGGGAAATGGATATGACACAGAAGGCACTTTGCCTTTCTAATTGGAGATTAATCTCTAAACTTAGCAAGTTGAAACTTGTTAAGGACTGCCAGATCTCAATTATCACTCTTATGCTCTTTGTAGAGCACGTCAAGTAGGGAAAATAAGTAAAACTAAACTAAAAACATTGTCTCAACCTCTTAACCCTTAGAACTGCTTTACATTGATTTGTTTGGTTCTATTAGTACTACATTAATCAATGGGAATAAATAGGGTATTGTTGATGACTATAGTAGACAGACTTGGGTTAAATTACTTATAACCAAGGATGAATCATATGATGTGTTCAACATCTTCTACATACAAGTACAAACTGAAAAAGAATCTAAAAGTTTAAAGATAAGAAGTGATCATGGTGGTGAATTTAAAAATGAGCCGTTTGAAGTTTTTTGTGAAAAACATGGAATTCTCCATGAGTTCTCTTCTCTTAGAACTCCACGGCAAAATGGAGTTGTAGAGAGAAAGAACAGATCTTTACAAGAAATGTCCATAACCATGATTCATGAAAAAAACTTACCTAAGTACCTGTGGGCAGAAGCTTAAACACAACATATTATGTTCAAAATATAATTTATTTAGACCTATTCTGAATAAGACATCATATGAGTTGTTCAAGGGAAGAAATTCAAGTATATCTTATTTTCATAAGTTTGGATGTACTTGTTATATTTTAAACAATAAATTCTATCTAAATAAATTTGATGCTAAAGCTCATAATGGTATCTTTTTATGATAATTTGAACGCTCTAAAGCATATATAGTGTATAACTCTGAAACCAATATGGTTGAAGAGTCAATACATATTAAATATGATGACAAAGAGTCTGACAATAAAATCTTCGAGCTAGTTCAATTTTTTTAGAAATTTGTATATCTGAAGACACATCAGGAGCTAATAGTCAAGAATTTGAAAGTTCAGAAGCAAATAATCCATTTGCAGATAGACACTCAAAAGCAATTAGAACTTCAAAAGCTAACGATCCAGAAGTTGATACAACCTCAGAAACTCATCCTGATAATGAAGAATCTGAAGAAGTACAATATAGCTCCTCAAATGCATCACAA